AGTAGAGAGGGAATGAGAATGAGCGAAGAGGTGGAATTGCGTGGGTGCGCATGCATACAAGCACGTTTTTCAACGTAACGTATAAATACGTTCAAAGCGTGAGAGCAATCGTGAACATATATCATTTCAAATATTAGCATATATCCTTCTTTACATAATTCTTCTATATTGTCATAAAAAAGATAACCATAAGATAATTGATTAGATACACTTAAAGAAATCTATAAATAAGCATTTTATTTACGTCATTACGTATACATATAACTCTTAGCTGATTAGTTGATCGTTCATTTTCTAAATATGGCAATAAGCTAGAAACAGAAGCAGAGAGTCACGACAAGAGGTCGAGGTCTTTCGAGCTGCGGCGGTATTGAGTTTCACAGCGATATCAAGCATAATATAGCACGCGCCTCAATTCAATCCAGCTGCCGGCTACTGTCGTGGCTAACGAGTCGCAATTTAACAGGCCGGAAGGGATTAATTCATACACCCAATATCCATACCTAACAACGCCAGTAATTAATAATAATTATTAGATAAAAACCATTTCAATCCTATCATAATTAAATTAGACACGTTTTCTTTTATAATCGACATAATCGACAATAAATTTCACACCATTACCACGTATATATATATATATGTTGGTACGAATTGAGTAGTATTAAAGTGTATATAAGATAATGTCATTGACTTCTTGAAACAATGACGATATTGTATGTTATTATACATATTCGTATGTTGATCTTGTTCGATTATAAAATTGATTAAAAACAAAGCGGGAATAATATTTGGTCGATCGCGTGCATATGAAGGGAGCGTTATGAGTAACGAAGGAATTAAAAGGAAGAAACGGCTGGTTGGTGATTACTGTGAAATATACTAGCATGCGGCGTTACTCGGTTGCGTAGCGCGAGTAAGCGTCGGCGAGCATCAAAGAGACGGTGGCTAGTTGAGCCACTTAACGTCCTCGAGTTTTCGCATTAGTGAGGTAAAAGACTTCGAGGGAAGACATCATGTTCCCGAGAACTTTCTTTCACGAATGATAAATAGATGGATATATAAAATTGAAGAACTTGGAATAAATACAATTTCATGGAAATGACGAATAATAAAAAAGTAATATTGATACTTTTTCATAAGAAATTTTTTATTAGAAACGAAAAGCTCATGAAAGCATTAAGTCGATGAAGCGTATTAAATGATAAACAAGACGATAAATTTCATATATATATATATATATCGTATCGACAGGCTGGTTTCTCTGAAACGAGATCGAAAACGACTAGGAAAGACAAAAAGTATCTCGCGTGTTTTGTGAACATTAAGGAAAATATATAAGCAAGTTTTATCGAGCTACGACTGATTCAACGCTCACGCTTACCACCAAATAAATAATAATCAAAATATGTTGTTTTACTTTTTTATTGTTTTTTTTTTTTTTTTTTTTCAAAAATAATTGTTCTTCCAAGCGTCACCGTTTTAACGCTTTTTAGACAGATAGTTAGAACTGATTCAACTACGTAGAACGGATCGAGCAGTGTTAAATATACCGTGAAAAAAGGGCAAGTAAAGCCCCACTTCTCGTACAGATCATCGCTCGCAATGCACAGTAACGACCTTCTATAGCGATTCTTCACGGATTCTCGATTTTATGCAAATATTGATTCTTTTCTCCCCAAAAAAAAGAAGGCAAAAAATTCGATCGTTTTCTTCCCCCCTGGGTGCATCTGCATACGTTACAGCACAATGCCGTAAAATGTGGGCATTTTTTTATTCCCTGATTCTAAAAGCTGACAGTTGGTCAGTCACATTTGGCCTATAATTTCCAAAATGCCGAACGAGATAACGTGCAGTTTGACTCCCCCTGATCGGTTCTAACAGAAATTACCAATATATATAAATGGAGCACTCCATTTTCCTTCGCTTATCGCTTTTTTCGTTATCTCGATGGAACAAGGAAAGTGTGGCTTTTCGTTCGCTCATATATCCTTCGTTTTCGTTGATTAAAACGCCAGTAGGTTGGAAGTATCTCTTTAACGTTAGATTGTACAGCAAACCTTTTTTTTTCTTTTCATCAGTTAGTAAACGTTTTGCAAATGAACGTGATATGAAAAATGGTGTGAGGCTCACATGACAGTGAGTTAGTTGAAAATATTAGAACTTAGGTAATGTGGTAATACAATGACCACGTTCTTGCAATTCTATGAATGGCAAATAAGCTTCCGTATGAAGAAAATGTTTTAGTAAGTATTACTTGATCGTGCTTGGTATATTCGGTATCTGAATACAATGAACGAACAAAGTATAATATCTTACTTAATGGTATTGTGACCTTTGCGCATATGAGATCTTTCTCTTCCTCTTTCTCTCTTTATCCGAGCAGGACATGCCTATATTTACGCGTTCGCGCGAGCACGCGTAGGTGTATACTCTTAAACGGCCTGAACGCTGTTTTATTAGATAATTACTTGACGAGATGCGTGGGTGTAGTATATTGTGTGCTTTGCGTGATATACGCGCGAGTTGCCGTCAAGTGTAGAAGAGAATCGATCGATATTCCTACCTTCTTAGCTTCTTTTTATTCGATCATTGAGTCAAACACACTTGAGATATGTTATATAGGCTTATACTTACAATCATTTCTAAATTTAATACAAGTTCGAATATTTTTCTAAGCTGAAAGTGTTACATTATGCGATATTGTTAATAAATCATATAATTACCAAAATTAATAATTTACTGATTACTTTATAAATAATTGAAAAATACGAAGTTATAAAGTTAATTATATGTACTGTCCTGAATATACAGTGAGTGTAGAAAGTATTCGTACACCGACTAATTTTCGTAAATGAAATGAATAGGAAGAAAAGATTATTATTATTATTTCAAATTGATCGGTGTGCGAATACTTTCTACACCCACTGTATATGGGAAGTTGCTGCATATGCGATTAATATCAAAATTAAGAGGAAAAAGAGAATAGAAAAAGAAAAAGATATTCAAGGGATTCAGTTGACGAGGGAGACTAACATTTGCTCGTGCAAAGGGAGCAGTGGAGTCTACCGAGTTAGGATAGCAAACTTTTCGCCATAAAGAGTCGCCTGTCAATTCATCTTTCTTATATATATTTCACGTCAAAATATTGCAATAAATCATCAGAGTAGCAACGAATGAGAGTTGGGAAAGAGAGAGATGGGAAAGAAAAAAGAAAGGAACAAGGAGACGAGAAAGAGAGAGAGAGAGAGAGAGAGAGAGAGAGAGAGAGAGAGAGAGGGTGTTAGTCTCAATCCACACCAAGTTAGGAGACTAATGGTACCGGCCATCGACGTATTTTACAGGGTGTGATATTTAATCCGAACGCTCTTATTTTCTTCCTACCAAAAACTTTCCTTTAATCATTGTCTTCAAAGATTTTACAAAGATTGTGAAAAGTCTTTTCTATTAATAAAGAGTGTATTTGTTGGATTTTAACCGTTAAAATTCTACTATGAAATTATCGTAATATAGGAAAGATCGTGAGAATGAAGGATCGAATTCCTTCGAGCGTGTCATTATCTCAGTGGAGGGTGAACGTGCCCTTATTTTCAAGATCAATTGAATTCGGGGTTGTATGACATTGATTATCAATCGACGTTTACTGTCGAATGTTTGAATACAATAGATTCGTGGAAATCAAAGAGGTACCCCGTGAGCTTTTTTAAAATTCGACGGTTTTACAATTTTTGTTCATAGGTTTAGGTTATTGGTAGTAAAGGAAAACGCTAAGAAAAGGTTCGGCATCGTATTTGTCTCACATAGGTAGAAGCAATGAAGACGCAAACAGAGTCGCGGGTAAAGTCAAGGGCAGATGATGTAGTGTGGGGCTATTAGCTGGCAGATTAGCAGTAAAAAATTGAAATTTGCACGGACAGTTCGATGCGCAGCGGAGGTGGCGGCTACGTCTGAAGAGGTTCCAAGAGAAGAGCTTGAAAGATTGAAGAAGAGAACCGAATCTGCCACGCATCGAGTTCGACGAGTGCTTGCTTGCTTCTCGTCTTTCTCTCTTTTTCTCTCTTCTACTCCTTTACTCTCGGCTCGTGCATTCATCTTACTTTTTCTCTTTCTCTCTCTCTCTCTCTCTCTTTCTCTGCAGGTATGAAATGAGATATGGTTACGAGGCTCATATACCACGCGAGACCGAACAGGGACGTATCGTTGAATTTCTTCTTGAAAAAATCTTCTCTTAGAGAGACTAACAAATTCTTTTAAAGAATTATTCATTTTTATAAATAACTTTTTGTCTATATTTTTATGCGCGACTTAATAAATATTGCAAGAGTTGATCACTTTTATCAAGGAAACCACGGATAATTGAACTAACAAAGAAGGTACGATGAAAAAATTGCTAAACAACGTTCCAGATGAAATTCGCGTTAGTTGTTTATTTGAAAATAAGGAGCATCCCTGAAAGGGATCGAGCTGCAGCAAGGCTTGATCGACGGCGGAGAGGACGACACAGAGGACCTAACATGAATTCATAAGTTATGCCGAAAACCCTTGGAGAAGCTCCTTTTGGATATATGGCGAACCGTGACTAAAAGGTCCTTAACGGGATACTCGGTAGTCGATCGTAGCAATGAGTTAGCAACCGTTCTTTATTACCCGCGGTGGTTATAATTGCAAGCGTCTCGAAAAATTCCACCCTCCCAAAGGCACGAGCATCATCTCCCTCTTTTTTTACTTCGTCGTTTTCGCTTCGGGCTACTCCCACCAAGTTTTTTTTTCCTAAACCGTGACGAAAGTACCTATCGCGAATCAAGTATATCGGTATTTGAAACTTCTCTCACTTCAATCGTACGAGAAAGAAAACACTATACCATCGAACAATATATTATAAAGTATATGGTAAATTAATATTAAATACATTTAGAAAATATTACATTTCTTGATGAGTAACGAAGTGTAGCGTGACTCATGAAAAAAAAACAGATAGGAATTGATGTTTTAAATAGATTTCATTTCTTTTTTGATAAAACGGCTATGTAACAAAAAGCACCTACATCAGGTATTGGCTGAGATAGAAGAAAATCCCCACCGTCCGGTGAACGGCGTAACAATTCTGATCTTCTTCCTTGACCGATCATATTTTTGAGTTTTGTAATTTTACCAACTTTTTGCATCTTATCGTCAGCATCTACAGACTGCAATAATTAATCTTTATTAAATAAAATTACTTATTTTATAAAATGTAAGATCATTTTTTCATTTACCAGCAAATTCGTCATTGTTAATAACGGTTGATTGGGTGGTGGCTTGTTAAAAGGTGTTTTCAATTCACCATCTTGAACGTTCAGAACGAGAAAGTACATAAATTTGTTTCGTAATTTCATTTCATCGATTGACTTTGTACAATTTTTTAAAAATCTAAACCATCTCACAACGGTTTGTCTGTCTATAATTATAGAAATATTTTCATCAATAGAAAACGTTATTGAAAATAAGTTAAATTATTTCAACTTTTACCTTGTATATTTCTAAGATTTGGTAACATAGTTTTGACAAAAAACAGGTTATAATTCCAATCGTAAAGAAGTGATTCTTGTAATTCGTGCGTCATTGTAGAAATATTTCTTTTAATTAGTTGAAACAATTTAATATCGAAATTTAGAAAAAATTTGGATGCAATCTAATTTTTTAAATTTAATCCAATAGGGACGTATAAGGCTCGTGAAGTTAATTTAATCTGATACCTATCGATAAAAGGACTTCGTTTGTTTATTGCAATTATTTAACAACATAGCGTGTTCTCAATCTAATCTTAGTTGATAAAGAGTAGATAGTGCTCAACTCATCAGGAAATTAAATCTCAACGACAATGCGAATGACTGGTGAAACGAACTCGTCGAGTACTCGGTGAAACCTTTCACCGCGATAGTACTACACGATCGTAGGAACAGGTGTGTCGGAACATTCAGTCGAAGGAAGTGGCCTTTACTTCCGTTTGAAGTTTCTAACGAAGAAATGTTATGCGTTTTTCATCGATACAACCGTCAACATTCACACGTGGAATAAGGTGAAGGGATCAGTAGTCGATCAGTTGTCATCTATCAAAACTCTTTTATTGCATCTTGTCTATATGACTTTCCGAACATTGCGCGCATGTGTGCAACGGTAATAATAATTCTAATAAAGAGTATTTAACATTATAACGTTGTAATTTTAGTATTTTTTGCATTCTATTGTAATTATTTTATCACACATGTTCAGTGATGATTACGAGGATTAAATAGTGTTGTAATATAAAAAGAATGTTTTAGTATATTAAAATAATTGTTAATTAATCGATAGGAATGTGTATTGATGTCTAAAAGCTCGAATTAAATGATCGGAGTACCGTCCTCTTCGAAATTCACCTTCAGACTAACGTGATGACGTCTTCTGTCATAATACTTCTATTAACTGTTATTTATATGACTTTCCGAACATTACACATGCATGCTATGGTAATAATAAATCTAATAAAAAGTATTTATATAACATTATAACGTTGTAATTTTAGTATTTTTGTGTATTGACTGGTGCCTTCACCCTAAATACTGTAATATTTTTCGAATAATCATTAAGAAAATAAATTAGGAAAAAAAAAGATAAATTAAAGATGAAATAATAAAATGAAAATGAATCTAGGAGACTTATGTTTCTGTTAAAACGACATTGTTTCGACGAAGAAACGTACGACTTTGCTTTAAAACAATGGAACCGACTCGGGGTAATCGACTTGCTCTCTCTCTCTCTCTCTCTTTTTCCTTATACTTGGTAAAAGGATAGTAAATGAGGAAATAGAGGATCCCCCAGGAAGTCGAGAAGAGCAATTAACTCTTAATTGAATGCAAAGTCTCGAAGAGGTGCACAGCGAGCAACACGAAGTAATGCGACACGGTTTTCAATGCTTACCTCCGAAACGCTTCAAGGAAACGACGTGCGAATGGCAATTTTCTTCATTATTATACTAATTGTTGTAATTACCGAGTCGTACACTATGGTAATGAGATGTGACAGGAAGGACCGGCTCGAAGATACGCGCGGCTGACTTGCGCTTCGTTGTGTCCTCCTTTTTCTCTCCTTCAAAGGATTTCTTCCAACGATTTAAAGGCCAATAAATTCGGTTAGTGTAGAAACAGTGAATGTACTGGAATCAGAAAGAGAGAGAAAGAATATAGAATAATTTGTGGGGGTTAGTACGTTACTGGAATATCGAAGAAGGAAAGTTTTTCTTTTCTTTTTTCTTGTTGAAGTAGAAGAAGAAGAATTACTCCAGTAGTCAAACCTTGTCTCTTTGACTTTTTTCGTACGGCCAATTTCACCGACGCAAAAGGACCCACGCAATAGCTTACGTCTGCTATTCTATATCTAGAAAGAAAAGTATCTTCTTCATCTTATTTTCCTTTCTCGATGTGCGTCAACATTGTAAACCTACGTTCATATCTTGTCGAGTCTCTTTGCTTTTCCTTTCGACGGCTTTAGCAAAAGATTTTAATAAAGCTTGATACATCGGAAACGGGAGAGAGAAAGAGAAAGAGATAGAGGATGGAATCGCTTTTGTCGCTTAGAAGGCATCGTATAAATGCGTATTAAGGTATGCGTTTGATGGGAGTCGGTACGAGTAGCTGGATGAATATACAGCCCACACAGGCCGCAAAGAGCGGACACTTGGCGCAATTTTATTGTCGGGAAAGGAGGCACCGTGCATAAACGATCAGACTGCTGCTTGCTGACCTCGTACACCTGGCTCATCATCCATTGCGGACTATCGTAGGACTCGATGAATATACGCGTAACGCGTAGGTGCGTTTGCTGCTAGTCAGGATATCGTGATAGAAGTTATACGTATATGTGTTATCTGTAAGAGTGTATAATATAATACCTATACATATCTATTATACCGGAAGAGTCGGTCGACGATCGAGGAGCTTTAGCATTTCAATCGTAGCCGCTCAGCTTCCGATTTAATCGGCCCCATCTTTGTTTTACTACTGCCTTTTTATAGGAACACTTAATATCATTTTTTTATTTCCGATAGGAAGAAGTTTGCGTTTTAACGATAAGTCGGTTTGTAGATCGTAGGAAAAAGATCGACGAACTTTGTAGTAAGTTTGTAGTAATTGCCTAGGACGTGTGTCAGGTAACGACGTGGCCAGGTGAATACACTCCGTTATACCTACGCATCTATTTGTCTCACGTAGGAAGCCACTAATGCCAGCCAACCCCGCTACCTCTCGTACGTGTACTTCTTCTATTTATGTTTCGTTTCTTTTATCAACTCGTGAACGTCTCTTCGTTCTTCCATTTACTAACGCATTCATTGTATTCGATATTTATACGAAATGTAAAAAAGATATAAAAAGATTTTTCTACAAGTTCAGCGACAAGCTAATCCTCTTGCGAAAAGAGAGACATTAGTGTTTAATTATTGAAATAAGCGTGCACCTTGACGAAGAAGGATGTTCCTTTCCAGGCAAATGAGCGAAACGGTAACACGCGATGCCCCTGAGCTCTGTGGTAATTCTTTGTGTACTCGACATACCGTGTTGTAAAGTCGGCCCATTAGCATCGCTCACGATCCCACCGATAGCAACAGGGCTTTCTTGGAAATATTCTCTCTTCCTTTCTTCGCCCTTCAAACGAATTTTCCCCATACACTTTTCTCCTTCCTACAGAACTATGGAAATACGTAAGGATTATGCTGAAATTAGAAATTAGAAATTATTGTCATATACTATTTATACGATGATCATTTTGCATTATTTCAAGATGGAATTTTTCATTCGATATACTCGTAAGTTAGATGAAAAGCGTAGGAGGTACTGATGTTCGATACTAAAATTCGTCCAAGTGCTATAATTCGCAAATAACGGTGCACTTAAATACTAGGATTTGATGTACTTATTAGAATAATTACATAGACGTGGCGGCGTTCCGCGTTTTCTAAGAATTCGAATGCCTCTCCGATATCGCGTTAAATATGTTAGTGAAAAGAAAGAAAATTAAGTTTGCGGTATCCAGCTATGTGCCATAACGAGGCAATAATTAGGTCCACGATCTCGTTTTAAAGCTAACGGTATCCTAGAAAGGTTTAATTATTCCAGTAACACGATTCGTTTGAATAATTTTATTAAATTTCGTTGAGAGAGAGGTACGAATTAGTAATATAAAATATGTCGGAAAAAATGATAGCAGATTTCGCGAATATTCTTCATTTAATTGTAAGTGGAAGAGGAGTCATGGAATTCAATTTGAGTTACTAAGTACTTACATAGAATCTATGTTACGTTACGATCGGTTGTTTGCACGAGTGTTGACGCATGAACGAATGAATACGTGTCACGTAGATATTATCGATATGCGCAATAAGCTATGAGGTTAATTTAATACTCGACATACGCCGTTAGATAGTTCAAGTATTGTTACTTTATATCCATTCAATTCTAATAACTCAAAGTTTCTTATATCAAAGATACTTTTCTGATAAACGTTTATAGCTTTAGATTATTATTAGTTAATGAAATCTTATTAACGATAAGTTTAAGCAGGTGGTAGTTTCTAAATAAAGCTATGTCCGATTAAATGGCTTCATATCGACGAATAGATGTTAAAAAACAAGTGCAACTAAACTACTTAACTAAAATAAGAAACAACTCTCCCACGAAAAGATATATAATAACTAGATATTTATCTATCTGATGTACCTAAGTTTCTCGCGTTAAATTCGACGCTTCCTGTTAAAGCCAAAAATATCTCTCGTCAAATTACGTGATGAGGAGAAAGAGGTGGGGGAGATTATATCGGTTGCATCGGTCGTGCTTGAATGTTTGTTCGAACGGTCATCGATCGCAAGCGACGAACCGATCATCTCTCTCTCTCTCTCTCTTTCCCACTTCGGTTACCTTTCGACGAATTACGCCTTGAATGCATAATAATACATAACTCACGCCTCTTGCAACGATGTATCTTATTTGCATTCAACAAATGATCCGACATTTAGGCGAATTTGCATTCACAACGTTCGGCATCGACGTTGACTGAAACAAAAAAAAAAAAAAAAATACTAAGCCTTTCGACGTTCCACCGCGAGAAATTGATTGTTTAAAAGACGAGGAAAATCTATATTCGATAAATCTATAAGATAATTTATTCTACTTCTTTTTTTTTAATGAAATTTATCGGTCGAATTTGTAAGAAATTAAAAAGTTAAATATATATATAAAAGATATGATATAGAGAGAAATAAAAGTTCGCATAATAGCAACAGGTAATGTAAGTAATTTAGCGCTTTCACTTGTAATCTATGTAGTAGTTGGTGATACGTCTGACGTGACGTTAGGACGTTACGTTGAAACGAAACGAGAAACGAGATGAAAATCAGAGAGAAAATGCATCACGGTATCGAATTAACATAACTATGCAAACGAACTTGGTAATTATAGTTTCATTATCGTGAAAATTTATATATATATACATACAGCTATATTTAATGGGCTAAAGTATAAAACAAGTTTCTCGTAGTATTTTTTCTTCTTTCCGGTCACTTTCCCTATCTTTTCTTATTCCCAAGAAAAT